GATGTGTACAGTTGCCGTTAATGGGAGGGATGGGAAAGTTGAGAAGGGGTATGGCTATTGTGGAGAAAGATGATGAATTCGGGCATAATAAGTTTGAAATAATAATGAAACACCTAAGTGAGGAATTATGTGCTACACTTCTGATTTTTTTATTAATTTTAGAGATAGAGAAACATCGATTTGTTTTCCACTTATTTATTCATCCATTGATTGATTCTTACATGTGCCCTGGCTGGAGACTGAACCCACAACCTTGGTGTATGGGGACTGTGCTGTAACCAACTGAGCTACCTAGCCAGGGCTCTACTTATAAATTCTTGCTATGGGGCTACATAGTTAGGAGTAAGACAGTTATGTTGTTACAGTACTGCATGTTAGATGTGACTAGGAACTACAAGAGATAATGGCAATGGGGAGGAAGAAGAGTGGGCAGACTTAAAGGATACATGGAAAGTACAATCAGCAGAACTAGATGTGGGATACAGGATTCATTAAAAAGTTCCCTGTTTTCTGGACAAAGGATTCCATAATCCAGATTGAGAATACAACTGCAAGAGTAAGTTTAGCGAGCAAAACACCAAGTTCAGTTTGCAGAAGGGTTCATTTGAGGTGCCTATAAGTCTAGAAATTGGAGAAGATAGTAGGTTCTGTGAACTTCAAGATATATCAGTAAAGGCATGAAAGTGAAAGCATTTAGAGCAGAAAGGTTGGAGAGCTGACCCCGATGAAGGCTTACAGCTGAAGAGAATAGAGACAAGGGCCCAACAAAATAGAATCAGAAAGATGTGGTCAAAGGACGTTATAATGGAGGAACTGGATCCGTCCATAGTGTAAAGTGCTATTGAAGGTTATATGAAGTAAGAAATGTGACTATCTCACCTACATGATAAAAAGTGCCCAAATTTTTCAGGAAAGAAATGTGGCAAATAGTGGATAACTGTCAGAATTATGATTTTTAGGGGGTGTGTGTTTGTACGTTTTGTACTTTTCAAGGTTCTGGCAGTGAACATATACTTGATCATTAGACATAACTTTACTTCCAAAAACAATAATAAAATCACAGTGTTTTTAAAAATGGACTAAAGGGTGTCCATATGATTTGGCAGTTAGTAGTCTTTCTGAGACAAGTTTTAATGGATTTATAGAGGTAAAATCTTGCTTGTACAACTGAGAGGTGTGGGAAGGTTTTGTTTTAGGATAGGAATGATTTAGGCATATTTATGGACTAAGTTAAAGGAACAAATAAAAAAGGTGAAGCTCAATAGAGAATGATGACAACCAAAAAGGATTCTTGTGAAGAGAGAGGGGATAGAAACAAGAGCTCAGATGGATGTGGTTAATTAAACAGTTTCACAAACATTTATTGAGCATTTACTATGTGCCAACCACTGTACAGGGTGAAATAATGGGCTTAATTTCATTGGGAAGCCAGCTGAGACAATTGGTCTCAAGCAAGAGAATGTATATAATTCATCCTGCTAAAACTCAAGGTAAAGACATAACAGTAGATAAACTCACAGCTATTTGTGACTAGAGGTAAGTAATTCACAAGAGTCTTCCAACAGCTTCATTGTTCTTTGTGGAATAGGATATGAAGTTGCCAGTTGAGACTTCATAGTGGAACTCAAGACAGAGGACTTAAGAAGAGTGGCTGCAGTGTAAGAGAGGATGAAAGGGAAGGGAAAGGAAGAAGGCTGAAAGGAATACTAAGGAAGTCCTGGCTGGTGTAGCTCAGTAGATTGAGCACAATCCTGTGAACCAAAAGGTCAGGAATTCAATTTTCAGTTGGCACATGCCTGGATTGTGGGCCAGGTCCCCAGTAGGGGGTGCTCAAAAGACAACCACACATTGATGTCTCTCTCCCTTTCTTTCTCCTTCCTGTCCCCTCTCTCTAAAAATAAATAAATAAAATCTTTAAAAAAAAAACAACTAAGTAAAAGAATTAAGGAACAGTGTTGAGGGCCTAACAGATTTGAAACCATCAATCTGTAACCCTTGGAATGTGAGATGCATGGGAGTGGTACCAATCGTATATTTTTGGGTTGATATATAATTTTTCATTGATTTATTTATCACTGGTAACACACAGCTGCCTGGGTACAGGAGCAGAAAAACTAATATCACTGTGTAATCCTGGGTTATAATTTGTAGACATGAAGTGGACTAACAAGGGAGCAAAGGGATTGGAGGTGCTGGTAAAAGACAATGCAAGGATTCCATCTGATTCAGCCTGGTTAAGGAAGGTATGTTAAACTCTGGTCAAGAGAAGTTTTGAGCCCTGACTGGTGTGGCTCAGTGGGTTAGGTGTCATGCCACAAATCGAGGGGTTGCCGGTTCATGCCTGGGTTGCAGGGGAAGGTCCCTGATGGGGGTGTGTGGAAGGCAACTGATTGATGTTTATCTCCCTCTCTTTCTCCTCCCCTTCCCCTCTCTCTAAAAATAAAAAAAATCTTTTTTAAAAAAAGGTTTGATAAGGTCAAAGAGCAGATGATTAAGCTGAAAGCTCAGGACATGGTAGTCAAATGATGTTAAAGATTTTAGAGGTGGAGGTCTTCCATGAAATGACAAAGGCATTAGGAATGGGTATTTGAAGTACAGTAAAGCTGAAGGTCATTGGAGTGTTAAGGAACTAAGGGAGTTCTCACATCCAGCTTTGAAAATAGGTGGCTTCTGTATTTGTGGCTTTGTTCTGTTATCGTTTGTTAAACTAAACTGTATTTTTTAAATTATATTTCATTGATTATGCTATTACAGTTGTCCTAATTTTTTCCTCCTTTGTCCCCCTCCACCCAGCACCCACCACTCCCTCAGGCAATGCCCCCACGCTTGTTTCCATCCATGGATAATGGGTGTAATTTCTTTGGCTGCTCCCTTTCCTATAGTGAACTTTACATCTCCATGGCTGTTCTGTAACTATTGTACTTCTTAATCCCCTCACCTCTCACCCTTTCTCCCACACCCCACTCCCATCTCTTTATCTTTAACCTTTGGCATTTTAATTATGATGTACCTTGGAGTGGGCCTCTTCGGGTCCATTTTGTTTGGGACTATTGTGCTTCCTGAACTTGTTTGTCTATTTCCTTCACCAAGTTAGGGAAATTTTCCTTCATTATTTTTTCAAATAGATTTCCAATTTCTTGCTATTTCACTTCTCCTTCTGGCACCCCTATGAAGCAAATGTTGGATTGCTTAAAGTTCTACCACAGACTGCTTATACTATCTTCGTTTTTTGGATTCTTTTCTTCTTCTTGTTCTGATTGACTTTTTTTTTTTTCTTTACGTTCCAAATCATTGATTTGATTCTTGCTCTACTGTATCAGCTGTGCAGGGGCAGGGTGGTGGTACACCGACGTGGTCTGTAGCTGTCCACTGGGTGCACTAGCCCTGGGGTTTCCTGGGTGGTGAAGGCCAAAATCAGCGCCCCCTGTGTTCTGCCACCCTGCCTGAGTTATAAAGCAATCCGAGATGGTTGCTACTTATGCAGGGCTTGGAGATTCCCAGGCAAAGCCAGCTATGAATCTAGGCTGCTAGTGCAGGGCTTGGGGCTCACTGAGGCCAGCTGCTGCTTGTTTGTTCATATGGAAAAGCAACTTGGGTGGGTCCCCAAGTTGGGTGGGGCAGAGTCTCTGGGGATCTCCAAGGCAAGTCAAACAGTGTTAGCCAGGTTGGTGGAATCTTAGATACAGCACCAGCCTACCAGCTCTGTGGGGAGGTAGCCCAGAAAAGGACAATGACCTCTGCTCACCTTGATGCCAGACACCTCTGCCTCCTCTTGCACGCCACTGGTGCCCCTCAAGCTTCCCCCACAGTGCACTGGAGCCCAGAGGGAGTGAGTATGAATAGGTGAGTCTGTGTGTGGGTTCTTAAAGAGGAACTGCTTGGAGCTCCAGAAGTTTCTTCCACTAACTCAATCCCTACTGGTTTTTGCAGCTAAAAGTTGTGGGGACTTATCTTCCTGGCACTAGAACCCTGGGCTAGGGGTCCTGGTGTGAAGCTGGAATTCCTTGCTCCCAAGATATTCCTCCTAAATTTTTTTTTAAGATTTTATTTATTTATATTTAGAGAGGGGGGGAAGGGAGGGAGAAAGAGGGAGAGAAACATCATTGTGTGGTTGCCCCTTACATGGCCCCCACCAGGGATCTGGCCTGCAAGCCAGGCATGTGCCCTGACTGGGAATCAAACCAGCAACCCTTTGGTTTACAGGATTGCACTCAATCCATTGAGCTACACCAGCCAGGGCTCCCTCCTGAATTTTTGTCCACCACACTTGGGGTGAGGCCAGCCCATTCCGTGTCTATTCCCCTCCTACCAGTCTCAATGAATGTAGTTTCTTTAATTCCGTAGTTGACAGGCTTCCATTCAATTCAATTTTTGTCAGTTCTGAGCAATGGTTTTTCTATATTTTAGTTGTAATTTTGTTGTGGTTGTGCAAAGAGGTGAGCCATGTCTGCCTACACCGCAATCTTGACTGGAAGTCCCCAACTATATTTTTTTATATAAAAGAAAAATTAAAGTGTCTAGCTTAGAAAACAACAACAACAAAAAATCAGGGGGGTGGGCTGGAATGGGGGTAAAAGGCAGAATCCAACTTGAACAACAATTAAAAAAATTATGGGCTAGGAGTGTTGGATCAGTGATATATTTAGATTGAAAAGACTGAATAGAATTGACTATTTATATTAGCATCTAGGTCTACATACCCACCAACAAGCATCATTCTTGATTTATTCCAGCTACTTACCTTCGATTCCCAACCAATTAGTAACATAAAACTGGTACCTGCTCTAGAATACCTCTGCCAGACAGCTTTTCTTTTACCCAAGGCCCTCTTCTCTAGAAGAAGCTGATTTCACAGCAAATTTGGGACTCAGCTTAGATCATTTTTAGAAGTAAACAAATATGTACGTGGGTTGGAAGTTTGGAAGGAACTCAGCCCAAGGAGACGAGCCGGCACCCTTGGTATCCCCTGAAGTAATTTGACCTATCTCTTGCTCCTGCAGTGGACCAAGGAGAGGACTCATGTAGGACCAGCATCTACCTCAAGGTTTCAGCTTCAGGACTATTGACATTTTGGACCAGATACTTCTTTGTTGTGGGGACTGTCCTGTGCGATTGAGGATGTTAACAGGATCTCTGTCCTCCACCCACTAGATTCTCAGTCAAGACAATCAAAAAGTCCCTACACTCGCCCTTCCTGTGCCCTTGTAAGGGTGATGCAGTGCCTTGGGAGGCTAACACCGAAGGGTACAGTAAGTCTCCATAAAACCCAGAGACGAGATGATAAAACTCCTCCTTGGATCCTGTCTGGAGTCACAGCTGAAAAAAAAAAAAAGAGTCCCTACACAAATGTCCCCTGGGGTCCTCGGGTTGAGGAGCACTGCTGACTTGAGGGAGGGGCTCACACAACTCTGGCCTGGGCCCGTTTAATCTCAGCAGCACCCATCCTCACTCCTCACCCTGTGCCTGGCTTCTTCCCTCACCGTTCCATCTGGGGTTGCCGTGCCTGCGTTAGAGGGGGTCCTCTGACTTCTCTCTACACGAAAGTGGCACCTGGGGTGAAAATGGGAAGCAAAAATTTCTATCTCTCTGCTCTTGTCCCAAGGGGATCCCCCTGACTGGATAGGAATTTACATAATTGGTTAAAATAAGACAAAAGAAGGTATGCAGGACTCACCTCTTAACTGTGACTGCTGTGAATCAAGACTGTGATCGTGGCCTTAAGCCCCTTTCTTACCTTGAGGGTAGGCTGGGAGAAATAATTGACAGCGTATCATAGAAATCTGCCTTTTCTAGGGATCAAAGTACCAATCAAACTATACTGCAAGGCCACTGTAATCAAAACAGTCTAGTACTGGCATAAGAACAGACACATAGACCAATGGAATGGAATAGAAAGCCCAGAAATAAACCCATGTCTGTATGGTCAATTAACATTTGACAAAGGGTGCATGAGCATACAATGGAGGAAAAACAGTCTCTTCAATAAATGGTATTGGGAGAATGGGACTGGTACATGCAGAAAAAGAAATTAGGCCACCAACTTACACCATACACAAAAATAAACTCAAAATGGATAAAAGACTTAAATGTAAGTTGTGATACCATAAAAGTCCTAGTAGAAAACATAGGCAGTAAAATTTCAGATATCCCATGTAGCAATATTTTTGCTGATATATCTCCTCAGGCAAGGGAAATAAAGGAAAAAATAAACAAATGGATCTGTATCAAATTAAAAAGTTCTGCACAGCTATAGAAACCATCAAAATGAAAAGGGAACCAACTCTATGGGAAATACAGTATCATTGTATTTTCCAGTGATATCTCAGACAAGTGATCTCCAAAATATATGAAGAACTCACACAACACCAGGAAAACAAACAATCCCATTAAAAAATGGGCAAAGGATCTCAATTGACACTTCTCCAAGGAGGACATAAAGAGGGCCCAGAGATGTATGAAAAAGTGCTCAACATCACTAATCATCAGAGAAATGCAACTTAAAACCACAATGAGATTACCACCTCACACCAGTCAGAATGGCCATCATTAATAAACAAGTGCTGGCAAGGATGTGGTGAAAAGAGAACCCTAGTGCACCGTTGGTGGGGGGGAATGCAGACTGGTGCAGCCACTGTGGAAAACAGTATGGCATTCCTACAAAAAATTAAAAATGGAACTGCCTTATGACCCAGCAATTCCACTGCTGGGAATATACCCTGAGAACCCTGAAACACCAATTCAAATGAACTTATGCACCCCATTGTTCAGAGCAATGGTATGTACAATAGCCAAGTGTTGGAAACAGCCTAAGTGCCCATCAGTAGATGAATGGATAAAAATACTGTGGTACATTTCTATAATGGAATACTATGCAGCAGAAAAAAGGAATCCCTACATTTCGTGACAGCATGGATGGACTTGGACACTGTTGTGCTAAGTGAAATAAGCCAGTCAGTGAAAGACAAACACCATATGATCTCATTTATAACTGGAATCTAATGAACAAAGTAAACTATTGAGCAAAATAGAACCAGAGACATGGAACCATGAAATAGACTGACAGCTGTAAGAGAGCGAGAGGGACAGAAGGAATGAGGAGGGATTAGTCAAAGAACTTGTGAGTGACCCATGGACATGGACAACAGAGTGGGGATTGACTGAGGGAGTGAGAGGTGGTCTGAGTGGAGGTGGGCGAAGGGGGAAACCGGGACAACTCTAATAGAATAAACTAAAAAAAAATGCCTTTTCTGCAGTTTCCTCACTTCCCCTCCTGAGTCCTCACTCATTCTCTCTTGTGCCCATATTTAGACACCACAAGCCTGTGCTGTCATAGAAAGATAGAAACCAGATGGTTGCTAGGAGATTGTGTTTAAACACACATACACACCCTAGAGCACAGTCCATGCTGAGTGAGAGGGATGAATTTTTCTTCTAAATTTCCTATTACCCTACCTCTTTTATTGTCTCCACATTTCCTGCTTCTCATGCCTGCTACCAGATGCCACTTTCCACGAACCAGTATTGTTCTTACATAGCTCCTTTGCCTCAGGAAGTCACAATTTAAGAACAGAATTACTTAACATTTTTTTTTGAGCTTCAGTCCTTTCACCTGTAATATGAGGATAATTATACAAATATTATATGGCTTTTGTTAGAATTAAATATCTGTAAAGAAACATCGTGGTTGGCAAAGTATATGCTCAATAAATGAAATTTGTTCTTATGCTAAAATGACATCCTGCCCTTGGGCACCTGAGAACCAACCACTAGTATCTCTGGAAAATTTGGCTTGTGCTTCCTGCCTGATAGTAGGGAAAAACAATTGTGGGAGTGTCCCTCGTCCTGTGGAGTGACGGAAGAGCAGAATTGTAGGGGGAGGGATATTGCTTTGTTTTTAGTCTTTGTTGTACTTAGTGGGCAGGCTGTTTGGGGGGGGTGGGGAATCTGGGCATGTGATCTCTTTCTTTCAGCAATTTGATATGAAAAGCACAGGAAGGGAAGACCTAAGACAAAATCATCCTTGTCTGGCTAAAAGGGAAGAGTACAAAGGAGACAGAATGCTCTCTGGGCCTTTGGCTGTGTCCCTGTAACAGGCTGGGCCTTGTTCCTACTATAGATTCTGTATGACATCTATTGAATTTTTTGGAAAAAAATAAACTAAAAAATTAGTTTTGTTTATTTTCTAAAATTGGTTTAGGTGTTTTCTAATACTAGATAGGGGATAGGTAGTTCCACGCCCGGAAACAGGTTAAGATCTCTCTTCTTCGGCTGGAGTGTGGTGCAGAGCTGTGTTCCTGCAGGAGGTCCCAACTCCTTCCAACACACTCAGTAAGCAGAGAAAAAAATTGTGCTCCTTGCATTTTCACCTCTGTTCTATCTCAGAATAGATAGTACTACACTGTTTTTTACAGGTAAAAAAACAGGTTTGATTGAAAAAAGACTGGAGAGAGAATACTAAAAGGAGAATTGTGGTTTCATCTGGAGGGAGTTAGGAGAGTAGAGGAAGTAGTAATCAAAGGAAATTTAATCTCATCTCTAATGTTTTGCTTTTATGTAAGGAGAATATTTATACATCAGTTGTATAATTAACAATTAAAATTTGAATTGCAAGGTAAGACTATTCTACAAAATTTCAGTGAAGTCCAGAAAAGGTAATTTATGTAAGATCACTTGGTAACTGACAGACTCCAAAGTCCATGGATACTTCACCAAACCACAGCGCCCTGTACACCCTCAAGAAGAACTAGGTTTGGAGCCAAGAGGGAGTCCTGAGCACTCCCTCTCATAAACAGTGGAATCACTGTAGTGGTACCTAGGTATTGGCTGGGCTTTTTAATTTTCATTTACTTTTTTTTAATCCCTTCAGGGAGGCATGGCCAGATTATATCAGACCAGCTTGATGACTATCCTATGACTTGCCCTGGGAAGTATGACTAAGTCACATAGACTCTAGGTAGGGACTGGGGAAGGGTGTATATCAGCAAGATTAATAAAGATGATGTTTTATACTTAAAAGGTTTTAAATTAGATATTTCAGTTGGAGTATGAAATTCCAAAGGGAGATATTAGACAGAAATGTAAAAGTTGAAAGAGCCAGTTCTCTGATTCTTCAACCCCCTGCATCCATTTCAGAAGTACAGAAAGTGCAGATAGGGTTTACAAGAGAGATCTCTTGGAGAGAGGTTCAACCACGTCATCATGAGCTTCATCCAGTCTAAAGAGAAGAGGTGAGGAGTGCTTCCCTCTGCTCCTCAACAGAAGGATCAGTTGGTTCGGGCCAGCTATGGTTCCAGTATGCCAGATCCTCCATGTCTGCACTTCTTCCCCTGAACATCTCAAGGCACTTAGACTCCCCAGGCAATGATCTCAAGACACTTTCCCCACACCCTCAGTTGCCTCTGTCTTCTGTTCTCTGGTTCCAAGTACCTCACCCTTTTCCATTTTCAGATTAATCTAATCTCTGTATGACAGCCCTACACCTTAGACTTTCTCACTACTCACCCTAATGACTCATTAAAACTGACGCTAACTAAAACCTAGAAGTGTAATTTTGGGGATAAGATAGGATTGTTTTCATTGTATAAATAATATACAAATAAAAGATAAATAATAGAGATTAAGACCTTCATTCAAAAAAACTACAGATATGGCCAGAGCCTTCTTGGACCATTATCCCAAATCCTGGTCCTTTTCCCCCAGAGATACACACTGGTTCATTTTGGTTATATATCCTTTTAGACTTTTGTGTATGTAAATATTTACACGAATATATGTTTACATATAGGAATATGTAGTTGTATGGGATTTTAAAAACATGGTATCGCCCTGGCTGGCGTAGCTCAGTGGATTGAGCACAGGCTGCGAACCAAAGTGTCGCAGCTTCGATTCCCAGTCTGGGCACATGCCTGGGTTGCAGGCCATGACCCCCAGCAATATCTTTTCATGTTAACACTTAACATGTTAAGTGAAAAGATATAGAATAACACAAACTATTTGATACCATGTTTTTTTAAAGATTTTATTTATTTATTTTTAGAGAGGGACGGGAGGGAGAAAGAGGGAGAGAAACATCAATGTGTGGCTGCCTCTTGCATACCCACAACTGGGGACCTGGCCCGCAACCGAGGTATGTGCCCTGACTGGGAATCAAATCCACAACCCTTTGGTTCACAGGCCAGCACTCAACCCACTGAGCCACACCAGCCAGGGCTCAGTGAACTTTTTGTATCAGTACATTTAAATCTGTCTCTTTCTATAACCACTATATAGTGTCCCATAGTATGGATGTATCACATTTTATCTAACCATTCTGTTGTTGGACATATATATTGTTTCTAATTTTTTGCTGTTACAACGTTTCATTGAAAAGTTTTATACTTCTAGTGCTATATGAGAGTAACTCTTTGGGATAAATACGGAGAGATTAAATTCCTGGGTCATGGGGTATGTGCATTTAAAATGTTAATACATACTTAAAAATTGCCCTAAAATTATTTATATTCTCACCAACCTTGTGAGAATACCCTAGCCATTTCCCCATGCCTTTGCTAATACTTGGTATTAGCAGTCTTTAAAATTTTTGCCAATATGAAGGATGAGCAAAAGTTAACTCAAACAAAACACAAATACCTACACGTGTGTGTGTGTAGGTATAAGTGTGTATGGGTGTATGTACATGCTATTTGCATATCCTCTATTTTAACTGTCCATATTTCTGTTGGGTCTCCCAAGTAATTTTCAAAACATATTATGCCATATACCCTATGTTTATATATATATATTTAACATGTTTAACCTGTTTAAACTAAAGCTTGTTAGATTTGGTCCAGCCTGCCAGATCTCTGCATTCTCATACTGCTTTCCAACATATTCATGGTCCCTCCCATACTCAATATATTCAAATATGA